CAGACTTTGACCACGCATAACTTTGTTATGTGTTGTCTGTCTTGGCTTAAGCTTGCCAAAGAAATAGAACATAATAGTACCTACAGTTTGGATCGTCTAGATTCTTCGAAACAGGTAACGTCAGTGACCTGAGGTATAGTAAAATTTTGCAATTTTTCCTAAATAATGCAAATTTGTAAGCATTTTCGTGTAGTTTTAATGTTTATATGCGATAAAGCAAGTGCTTACTCATATTCACAAGTCATCTGATAACCACAGAGCATATGCCATTTTTTACAGATTTGATCCGTACTCTTTGAATGGATGAATTTCTGGGATCAGAGCTCACGCTAAACACTAATTGTTGTGTGAGCTCTGACCCCTACCACCCGATCGCGTAATTCCATGTCAACGACAGAATTTAGCAGCGAAAGTTTAACGTGCCGCAATGCCCGGCAAGGTCCGTCCTGCCCTCTGGCGTCAACTGACCTTCAGCGCGACCGCTGCCACCAGCCGCGAGCATGCCTGTCAAAGGCAAGGGCGTACCAAGAACATACCATTGGCCCAGGTCATGACCTATCTCTTGGGACCTTCTGTAAAACACATACTGAGCTCAAAATAAAGTCGTACTAGGTAATTTAGGTAATTTGGTAATTTTGGGCGCCGGTTTAGAATTTTCATTGAAAACATGTGATATCATTATAATGCATAATGAGATCATAATAGATCACTTGAGGACAAGCAAGGTCATATGAGGGCATCACAGGTCAATGAGCTCTGTTGTCGGTAGTGCAGAGGCTAGATGAACGAGTGCGACGCGTGTAACTATCTCCACATCGCCTTTGTGCAGCTGCTGACGCATGGTTTCATGTGCCAACGTGAAACCATGCGTCGGTTTCTGAGAACCTGTAATAAACTGAGAAGCCCATACGGGCTTCTCAGTTTATTACAAATACTTTGAGGAGTGTTGAAAGGCTTAGGTATAATATATACACAAACTGTGCGGTCTTAAGTACCTGTAGATGGAATGCACACAATTTCTGACGACAGGGAAATATTGTACACGTCACTTAGATCCAGTTAGCACTTTCATTTTTCAGTTCATTGGTTTACGAATTTGAGCTTAGTTGACCTCAGCTGACCTCTAGGTTGCCCTTAAGTATGTTTTTGTGTCTGGGATATTTTACTGTGAAAGAAATAAAGAAGTGTCGTTCCTGTAGGCTACTGGTGGACCAGTTTTTCACAATGGTCAGACCTCACCTGACTCTTTTGAAGGAATAAAAGTGGTCGAAATGGACACTCCACAGTCTTAGCGCTTACTTTTGTACCCTCAATATCCGTCTTGACGTGCTGACATGTATTTCAACCACATCTATCAAAACGGACGTTTTTCTCCTTCGTGATCTCTGGTGGCCTTACATTTGACCTGGGGTAAAAAATTGGTTTTATTATTCATGATTTGACGGGACCTTTACGACAGTGTCTTCAATTTTCTCGTCCGGCATCGGGAAGTTGGAGATCCCAGGAGGAAGCCAACTTTCCCCGGACGGGCACTGTTGTCTCAGACCCCCGGCCGGGCGCAACTTAGCAATAAGAGGTGATAAAGCAAAAACAAAGAAAGAAAGAACATGTATACGTGAACACTTTTGGTCTGGGTAACACAAAATGAGCGCAGCTATTCCTTAATGTCAGGTTTCAAATTTTATCACTTGAATTTTGGTTGACCAGATGAGTGAAAAGATGGGCGCAAATATTTCACTAATAAGTTCTCTTCATGGTTGCAGCCTTTTGCTGGATTCCATTCCGCTTTGTTCAGTGTTATGACCCGTTGCGATCGCAAGTGAAACAAAACGGGTTGCACAAAATACGGCAGACCCAACTAGCGTACCTGTGTAAAGAGCAGTTGCTGACAACCATGCTGACGCGTTCAAGAGAAAATGCTGACACCGCCAAAAACCCTCTACGCGTATTATAATTGAAAAGCACACTATTGGAACTTGAAAGATACCCTTTGCCAATTATTCCCAAAAAAATCATGCTGTTACGCCAGTAGTCGCCAAAACATAAGTTACTGCACGGTAGGCTGTTCATTTCGGCCTCAGATTTCAATGCGCTACAATAAGTTATAAAACCCTCTGCATTTCGGTAGACATGCCCTCTTCAGGTGAGCTCAACTTTGGAAATTGAAGACTAGGTCTTTGTATTGTATCTCAGCGTTTCCAGCAAATTTACAAACCTGATCTCACCTGAAGAGGGCAGCCTTGTAGCAGAGCTGGGTAGTCATGTCAGGCGGGATCAGAAGCACGCGGGTGACTAGCGGAGCACCACGCTGGCCGGCCTGAGTCGCCAGGCGTCTCGCATCCAGTCTGTCCCGCCAGTCACACCGTCTGCGTCTGGTGTCCCAGTCCCAGTCTGTCCCGCCAGTCACACCGTCTGCGTCTGGTGTCCCAGTCCCAGTCTGTCCCGCCGGTCACACCGTCTGCGTCTGGTGTCCCAGTCCCAGTCTGTCCCGCCGGTCACACCGTCTGCGTCTGGTGTCCCAGTCCCAGTCTGTCCCGCCGGTCACACCGTCTGCGTCTGGTGTCCCAGTCCCAGTCAGCCCCATGGTCTGCATGCAGGTCGCCACAGACCGCCCGTCGGCTATCGCCTCTTACAGCTACACCGGACAGGCGGTGCACGAGATGAAAAGAGCCCCGCCAGCGGTGATTGACGTGCTTGCAACGAGTGAAATGAGTCCGCCGCAACATGATGCGTTTTGTAACTTACGGTATTCTATTCAAATTTGAGACCGAGTTGGACAGTGTACTGCAAAACGCTAACCAAGCTGGACAGGCTCAGGGCGATCTAATGTCGATAAATGAATGATATAGCCCGTCAAAGTCGTGACTGGTCGGCCCCAGCCGCTGAAGCCAAACGACTTCCGCCTACCCGACGTAAGGAATTCCTCAGCCTGCGACATCGCTCATGGTATGGGTGAAAAGACAGCTATGGATGTGTATGTATACGCATAATGTCGTTCGCTGTTCTCCACCAGGCCCGTGCTGATACATTGTTCAGTAGTAGTTGGCTATTGGGCTTTACGGGCGCGTCAACCGTAATGGCTACTTGCGCCGATCAGTAGTAGCATATGGCATGCATGTTTATCAGAACTACAAGACAACATTTTTGCGTCAGGTCTATCGAAGCATTAACTCCGATACCACATACCTCATGTACCATGCATGGATGTCTGAGAATATCTGGAATGCCTACCTTGACGTAACAGAATATGCGTACCGTAAGCACACACTACGGTGATAAGCTGCCTCATCCAGGCGCATCCACATACTGTGGTGATAAGCTGCCTCATCCAGATCCATCCACACACTGCGGCGATAAGCTGCCTCATCCAGACCCATCCACATACTGCGGTGATAAGCCACCTCGTCCAGACCCATCCACATACTGCGGTGATAAGCTTCCTCGTCCAGACGCATCTACATACTGCGGTGATAGGCTGCCTCGTCCAAACCCATTCACGCACTGCGGTGATAAGCTGCCTCATCCAGACCCATCTACACACTGCGGTGATAAACTGCCTCATCCAGGCGCATCTACACACTGCGGTGATAAGCTGCCTCGTCCAGACCCATGCACACACTGCGGTGATAAGCTGCCTCATCCAGGCACATGCACATACTGCGGTGATGAGCTGCCTCGTCCAGACCCATGCACATACTGCGGTGATAAGCTGCCTCGTCCAGACGCATCGGACGCGGTTGTGCCCGAACAGCAGCAATCCCAGTTTGATTCCGGGTGCCACAGCGTGGGTAGAACAGCGTCATTGATGATAGAGCTCACTTTGTTCTTTTGCAGTCAGGCCTTTTCCTGCCTTTTATCGCGCCTAAATATGTTTTGCTCATGTGGCAGAAATCGACGACTAAACTTCAACGTCGCGGTTCAACGTTCTGGAGATCAGGCAGTTTGTTTTCAGTTGGTGTTTGTTGTGCTCACGGGTGGTTGATGTTGATGCTGTTGATGCTCACGGGTGGTTGATGTCACCCTGCGAGGCGGTCGCGAGGGCTTTAATTTCACACGCCGGACGAGTTCCAAATGGCTTTTAATGCAATGGTTAAGCAGTGTGTAAAACTAACGACGAACACGCCTCGTGCCATTGCATCTGATAACAAAAAGCTTGCGTATTTGTTTCTCTTCCCTATCGATAAAACCATTGATTAAACTAGCCCCAGTTTACATCCCCACAGGCCTTCAGCCCACAGCCACGCAGTTTCGGTCAGCTGAGTCTGCTATACTTCATACGTACTCTGTTACTTTCAAACCTGGAATTTCTAGGAATTCCTAGAACGATCAAGGCCGACGTTGTTCGGTACATGTTTGAATATGCGGTTTTGCACGATTTCATGTACAAAAACGTCGTCTTGGGATGTCCTGAGTCATGCGAGACAAAGCTGTGAAATGATTTTGCACTACAGTATCATGAGTGTCGTTAAACATGCACGCTATTTTCTGTCGGAAGCGGATTAAGGGTTGAAATGATCGCTGAGTTCATCATCAAATTGCTCGCGCAATTTCCAAGCAAAAATCTGAATTTCATGTTGAGGGGGCATGGCGGGAGAACATAATTTAAATACACACTATATAAATCAGCATCGCACCGAAGTATCACACTTACCAATCCTGTGCCTAGACTTACCTTTTCTGGCACGACGCGGTCACGACTGGCCCCAGTCTTGCCAAAGTCATGACGTCCGCGGCTTGACCCCTGGTTCTGGTCATCTCGTGCGTCCGTGTTCCCAGGCTGGGGTTGAACAGCCTCCCATTCCTGCTCGCTAATCTCACGCGTCTGTGTTGCCAGGCTGGGGTTGAACAGCCTCCCACTCCTGCTCGCTAATCTCACACGTCTGTGTTGCCAGGCTGGGCATGGACGGCCTCGCACTCCCCCTCGTCTCATGTGTCCGCGTCTCCAGGTTGGGGATGGACGGCTTCCCACTCCCGCTCATCTTGTCCATCTATGCCGCCAGGCTGGGGATGGACGGCGCCGCAGACCACTGTCGGCCGGATCTGCCTCATCGTTTACGGCATCCTGGGCTGCGCCGGCGGCATCCTGTTCTTCAACCTCTTCCTCGAGCGCTTCATCACGCTGCTCTCGCACGTCATGCGCGTGTACCACTCGTGGCAGGTGGAGCGGCGGATGGCGATGTCGCGTGCACCCTCGCGCCTCTCGCGACCCGACAGCCTCAGCTCGCAGGCTTCGCAGGCCGGCAAGTGGAAGCCGTCGGTGTACTGGGTGCTGCTGTACCTGCTGGTATGCACCTGTCTCGTGCTGCAGCTCGGCGCCGCGCTCTACCTGAGCATGGAGCGCTGGGACTACCTGCGCGCGATCTACTACACGTTCGTCTCGTTCGCGACTATCGGGTTCGGCGACATGGTGGCCGGCATTCGACCCGACCACTTCTACGGCGCCGCTCAGTGGTACGGCGTCGCCAACTTCCTCGTCACGGTCGCCGGCGTGTGCTGCATGTACTCGCTCTTCAACATCGTCTCCATCATCATCAAGCAGCTGTTGAACTACGTTATCGGCCGCGTGGACGGTGTGTGCGCGTCGACAGTGTGGCCGGCGGGCGAGCCGCTGGAGAAGGGACGCCTCGACTCCGGCCGGCCCCGCTCCGGCCGGCTGCCCAGCCTGCCCACGCCTCGCCTCTCCCCCGACCAGCTCAAGTCGACCTCGTCGCGCGACGAACTGGACGCCGAGGGCATCACCGCCGACCGGTGCGCCGGCCGCGCGCCCGATAGCATCATTTTCACGCGCGAGCTGCTGCAAGCCAACAGGGTAAGTGGCGCCGCCCAGCGGCCGGCGCCGATCCTAGCCCGGGCCGCTGCAGATGCTCCGCCGCTTACTCCCACGGCTCAATGTGCTGTGTCCGGCGCGCCGTCGGGAGACTGCGCTCTGCTCGTACCTCTGGCCTAGCGACCGCACTCTGACCACAATTCACGTGACTTTGACGGTGTCGGTTCATGCCACGCTGTAGGACGCGAGGGGCACAGGATGCGCCCTCGCCATGCCCACGACGGTCGGACGGGCAGCGTTCTGTCGCCAGATCGAAGCACATCAGCGGCGGCCTGGCCTCCATTGATCTGTTGATGATTGGACGGGCAGTCGCGAGTCCACTGTCAGGCGCGCCGCGCAGGCTCTGTTGCCCCATTCGCACGCGCTCCCGTCACGTCACGCTCCCGTCACGCCACGTCGCCCCGAGAAAATGGAAGACGCCCAACACTCCGCTCAGCCTCTTCGAATGCTGGCATCGAAGCTATTTAAATTGATAAACTTTCCATTTTGCCCCAGATTGTTAGGTAAACATTTACGCTACGCGGCAAATATTGAACGTGACTTGTCATCACATAAGGGCCAGCAAAGTGTGCTGTTCGGCAGGCGACGACCGAGATGATTAAGACGTAATAGCTGTCAATTAACACAACTCGTATGCAGATGGTGCCAAAACCAATGAATAGATATTTATATATTTACACACACACACACACACACACACACACACACACACACACACACACACACACACACACACACACACACACACACACACACACACACACACACACACACACACACACACACACACACACACACACACACACACACACACACACACACACACACACACACACACACACACACACACACACACACACACACACACACACACACACACACACACACACACACACACACACACACACACACACACACACACACACACACACACACACACACACACACACACACACACACACACACACACACACACACACACACACACACACACACACACACACACACATATATATATATATATATATATATATATATATATATATATATATATATAATGTGTGTGTATGTGTGTGTATGTGTGTATACGGAAACGCATGCATGCTCAACGCATTGTTTGGTAGGGTTTCGCGTGCAAGTTCTACTGGCATTGCGTTCGTGTTTTAATGTACAAATGACAGCACCTGCACATTGACGAATATCAGCTGGTTGTGCGGCCGACTATTAATTCGGCTATCCAGGCAAAATCAGTAATGTTTAATTATCCACGATCTTTTAGGAGTGTGACCAGAGTATTGCTTAAATATACATAGAGCATTGCTTAAATCTTTCGATGGATGTTGATCGCAGCGAACCGGGCTGTGCACGCGTGTAGTTGACATAACACAGTCGTAACGGGTTTAGACCACAGGGCGTTGTACTCATGGCTGCCTCAGGACTACAGGTCGTTATACTCGTGGCCGTTACAGGAAAAGGCGACAGTTGCTGTTTTCCGGGAAACCGCCGGCGCACCTGAACCTGATGGTTTGACTGGCGGCTCGCCTATGTTTTGACGTACGGCAACGCTCACGATCACCTCTTTATCAGCTTTGATTACCGGCGTAAAACATGGATGCCTGAAATCCTCCAAAAACGCGCGAGTCCATTATTTGCGCGGGAGCCCACGTGATTGGCTGCCCACATCGACTGCACGTTTGCCAGTGTGGCTGTCCTCCCCGTCCTCGACCGAAATCTGTTGGCCTCCGTATCGCTGCGGCCGCAGACTGTGGAGCGCTCGGTCTAGCGTCGACCGGAGCTGTGCGGTTTTTCGCAATTAACGACATTTACGTTTCCATTGTTAATCGAATATGTCAGAGCACATTTGGCTCACATTTCAATGCTGCAGTAAGACTATATCTGCTTGAATATATTGTATACAAACACCATAGATTCGGATAACACAGCTTTTGAAGCACTGCGTGTCTCGTCGACGAAAACCGCATAGAGCTGCGGTCAGTGAGTACAGAGATTTGGGAGATGTGACAGACTGAGCTGCCCGAGTGTTCAGGCTGAGGGTTTTCTCACTGCTTCGGAAGGACTCACACCGCTTGTGTTTCGATAATGACAGGGGCATAGCATGCTTGAGCTAAGAAAGCGTAAGTGAGCTGATAAACTGTGACCTTGCGCATCAAACTGTGCACCACGGCCGGCGGCGCGCCCGATTCACAAGACGTCGGGCACTTGACGGTATTGGGGCCTCCGATGCAGTGAGGAGGTAACGATGGCTTCCAGGCTCAGACTTTCAGCTCACGTGCATACATGACTGCTGCGGAGATCTCGCCAGAAAGCGCTATGCGTTAGTCTTATGTACTAGTCACCGACGATGTTTTAGGTCATCATCGCTTGCGATGCATGCGATGGATGTAGGCGCGAAAATACCAATTTTCAGGCCTTTTAGTGATAACAACATTACATTTTATGCGATTCAATGCTATGTACTTGTAAGATTCCTTGACATTCATACCATATGTGTTCAGGTTTATCAGTCATAGTTGTGCAGTGATATCCTGCTGTACTCACATGCAATAGCAGGTATACACAATCGCGGTCTCCAAATGTTTGTTATAAATGAGCGTTGCCAATCTGCCTATCAACTAACCCTAGCCAGGTGACCAGCGCTTGAGAGGTTGTTACGATACCGCTATCAACAAATAGCCATATCACATTATGTACACGCGCACACCGACACACAGACACACACTTGCACGTGGGAACATGGGAAGTGCGTGGGAGGTTTTATCTGCGTCAAAATGGAGCCATTGCGTTTATTACCTGCGTTGGAACGGGGGCTGTTTTCAGTACCTGACCTTGGAGTTGTGTACTTCTTCAAGATGTTTGCTCAATACTGCAGGGCGAACCACTCAGCTTCGTCATTATTTAGGGGAAGTTGCATGTTCTTCGTACCCAATGGTCTAACGGTATAATATATACATATGTAATATTTATTTTATATATTTTACATATATTAGACATTTATACATATATATATATATGCATGTATATATATATATATATATATATATATATATATATATATATATATATATGTGTGTGTGTGTGTGTGTGTGTGCGTGTGTGTGTGTGTGTGTGTGTGTGTGTGTGTGTGTGTGTGTGTGTGTGTGTGTGTGTGTGTGTGTGTGTGTGTGTGTGTGTGTGTGTGTGTGTGTGTGTGTGTGTGTGTGTGTGTGTGTGTGTTATAACAATTCATCTTGATAATGCGATAGCAAAACAGCATATGATTACACCTTAAATGCCGTAAATGGACTATTTGTGTTTCTATCTTATGGATAGACGAGTGTGTCAGGTGGCTGCAGAAAGCGTGTGACAGTATCAAGAGCGTTATTTACTGCATGGGAAGTCATTTTCAGAATATGCTGCTGCCAGTGGGCTTGCTGTAGCACATTGTCCAAGAACTGCGTAAAAATACTGTCCAGATTCGCAAAAGTTCCATGCTGTAAACAAACGCAAGGTAATCGTCCATGCAAAGTACGTATTGAAAATCGCATTTATCCCACCGTCATTACGAGCGGTGAACATTGGCTGCAAAGCTGGCAATGTACAGCAAAAGAATGGAACACAATTCATAGTACAAAGATCGAATCATTCAAGTCCCCAAAGTGTGTTGACGCAATTGATTCCCGCGAGGTGATGGTTTAGGACATATACCGCTGATTTTGTTGCATGCCCCCGGAACTGCAGCTGGATAAAATGTATAATAAATATGTCAGTTGGATACAGACATGGAAATTATAGTGCGTGACCCAAAGAACAAAGCGCCTTTTAGATACTTCATTGTGATTGCTTAAGTACGGCCATCACCTATGTAGCAGCACCATGCCGGATATAGGGCGAACGACCTTATTATCGGGATTTCGGGGCGTTTGCCTGTGGGCTCATCATGCGTTCAAAATAGAAAGCCAGGCCCAGCTGCTCACAACAGGCTTCAGGTCAGAGGACGATGACATTTAAAGCACGCAGGCGCGCAAATAGCATAGACGATCGATGACCAGCTGAAGCACTCTTACGTAACCTTAAAGGTCTTAAACAGGAAGATTGTAGGCTTCATCAAGCTTGTGTTTAAAAAAGCATGCGAATGATCGCCTAGCCACTCGCGGTGCGCTACATAAATTTGTATTCAATCAGGAAGGTCTGGGGTGACGGCGTCGAACGCCATACCCAGTTTTCAGGCGAAGCGTTTGCTTAATGCCAGTTGCAAGCTTGCGCTGCGTTGGTTCTCAAAATCAGATAAAACCTCATGCAATTGCAGTTATCCGAAAATCTGTCCCACTCAGGCAGTATCAAAACATTGTGATGGTGTCCGATATGTTCACAGATGTCGCAACCCGTGCTAGGCTATCGTCTCGAAACTCTTCCTCCGGCTCTGCTTTGCTGACTCGCATGCCACTTCTGTAGGAAATGCTTTGAACAACGATGCTGTATCGGATGTCGTCACAACCTCAGTGTCTTCAATTTTGAGGGTCATAACATGTTTCACAAACCTTGTGCCACCCCTTTCGTGTGTGTGTTTGTGTGTGTGTGTGCGTGCGTGCGTGTGTGTGTGTGTGTGTGTGTGTGTGTGTGTGTGTGTGTGTGTGTGTGTGTGTGTGTGTGTGTGTGTGTGTGTGTGTGTGTGTGTGTGTGTGTGTGTGTGTGTGTGTGTGTGTATGTGTCCTGTTTGTTGCGGATTTTGTTTTTGGATCACTTTATTATGTCTCTAGGAATGGCGGTGTTTCGTGCGGCTCTGCTCGTGTTGAGCCTGGATAATTTCAAAAAAGTTGTATATGATAACGAATGAGCTGATAGTTGCTCAAAAGATCCCGCTTCGAAATGTTTAAGTGATTATAAGATTATGAGATGTTATATAAATATGTTTACAGAGTGGCGATCCTGTCCCAGACCAGCGACAATATCTGTACAGATATCTGCACACTGGCAATGAAAAAACAACAATGCAATCAAACAAGCAAAAGAAAATTTTACAACGAAACAAAATAATAGTCATTCCACTTCTTGCATACCTACGCCTCACATCCCTATATGCGGTAATACACATGCTGAAAGCTGCTCGCATCGCAGGCGATGTTTTTATGTGGCTATTGCTTTGTTTTCTAGTTATTAGTGTCTATATGAGTTCATAGTAGTGTGCAATGACCATCGCAGAAACATAATTGGAATCTGGGCGCACCACGTGGTCATCGAAGGCCGGGCCACTCGGCTATTACGACCCAGTCAAACGGTCCCCATGGCCCGTGCTGATTATGTTTGAGACTGCTTACCAAAAGACATTGGTACAATCATCGAGACCCACGCATCCTAAAGCGCACTTACGCTCAAACTTGTGCCTAATGAGCCATCGCCAACGTACTTTATCGAGAAAAAAACGTTCAGTTGCGGCCGAGGTGACATTTTTGCGCTTACTGTCGGACCAAGATTATTTTGAGATCCGTACTTATACGCATGCACGCTGAGAAAATCTCACTTTTGTCCAGGGCTCTATGCGATGGGACTGCCTCTGCTATGAATCAGGATTCGGCGATGTCCTGCATCAGCTGTTGGACTTCCATACCAAATTGGTAAAAAAGAGTTGAATTCAAATTTTGCAGCAAGATCAGGGGGTTGTGTACGTCTCGTGCGCAATGCACGCATGGATACGGCCATATTCCTGAGGGGTTCGAGCTAGATGCATTTCAACCACACCATTTGGTTCATCGGTTATCTTGAAGTAAAAAACATGCATGGCCGTCGTTTACCCGATTGGGTACGGTTGGCGGTGTTTCGCTAGCGGCTGATTTGAACGTCAATACCTTTTTCATGTGTGAGGCCGGATGACTGCAATTAATTATTTGATAACTCACCGTGCTACCTCACAATCAGCACGGGTCACTGAGGCCTTTCGGTCGAGGGTATAGTGGCCGAATGTTAAGGACCACCGGTGCCTGCGTGAGGCAGCCGGATCAAACTCCGGACCTGCGACGGCCCCTGATATGGCCGTCGTCTTCGCTTGTGCTCAGTGAAGGATAAGCGGAAGCGTGTGTCGCGTCTCTTTTAAAAAACGTAGCCTGCGTGTACAGACACACTCAGCAAGGTTAAGGGTATTAGATGCTAAGGTGTGGAAAATTGAATGACTACGTAGCTTGGCTTAATTTCGGAGACAGAGGTTTCATGAGCCATATTCTTGTATGTTCAATATATGCACCGAGAGAGAGAAGAGAGAGAGAGAGAGAGAGAGAGAGAGAGAGAGAGAGAGAGAGAGAGAGAGAGAGAGAGAGAGAGAGAGAGAGAGAGAGAGAGAGAGAGAGGAGAGAGAGAGAGAGAGAGAGAGAGAGAGAGAGAGAGAGAGAGATATATATATATATATATATATATATATATATATATATCATATTGTTAAGACACTCGGACTCATCGTTGATTTTCTTGGACACGAAAGTCACTCTGTGAAAATATCAGCCATAAAATAAACAGCATTCGATTTTGAAACGGAAACTTTCGAGACTCTCAAAGCCCTCCGTTGGCCTGGTTTGCATAATTTAATGCTATCTTTGACGAATTCAAACCACGCACAAACGCAAACTAAACAAAACACCCATAATACCGACGGCACAGTGCAGTCATTTAAAAGCCGCATTACAATACAATCTTGATCATAATCTATAATCACAATCACAATCTCTTTGCAGTCAGTCTTGATTACAATACATAAAATATGTAGCCGGTGCCGTGTCTAGGTTGGACACTATTCAAAAAGCTTTATGAAAGATGTCAAGATCCTCAAAAATCAATGGTACGCAGATTATGGAATCGTTCGATGTAGAAGCGCGGTTCACACCAGCTCCTACTGAAGTAGCATGAAAGACGGGGAAAGCTAAGCTCAACGAAGAGTTTCAGGAGAAAGATAGCTTACTGCGGGTCGCAACATCTATGGATACACAAATATCTGGCGCTAAAGATGACTTGCAATACCAATACACCAAGATGCATGCATATATATATATATATATATATATATATATATATATATATATATATATATACGCTAAATACGCAACGCGCAGTTATTTTAACTTTCCGTTGAATGCGCACCGTCAGGAAACTTTCCAAGGGGCAGTTCAGGCACTTCGCGACACGTAACGCCAGTCCTTAGGATCACAGTGTAGTGAGTGCTCAGGGCATTTGATCATGCCGCATGTATACCAGGGATCAGCTCTTGGTATGACATCGCAGCTACATCTGTATTACGTGCTTACCACTTTTGCCTTTTAGCCATTGAAAAGGTGTAAAGAGGGTTGCTTTGTGAAAGCAAAGCATCTTTCGTGAATCATATTTGATGGATTGTGGTCCTCTTCAAGATGACCTACCCCTTCCTGGCTATAACTGCTGGTCATCATTTGGAAACTCATTTGATGTTTTGTCTCACTAGGTGCTGACGGGAAACAAACAGGCTTTTACGTGAGATGAACTGCTCCAGTTCAGTCCGTAAAAGGAGGTAAAATGCACCCAGATACGAAATGGATTTGCGCATGTTTTCATTGGCATTCTTTCGAACAGCTGCTGTGGGTCCCAAAGCATTTGCTGCATCTTGGCGTGTCAGGGATGGATGCACACCTTGTTTGCCTAACAGAGCTCTTTACAGATATAGTGGAAGGACTGGACGGCAAACGGAACTGAAAACATGGATGGATTGGATTTATCTGGAATCACTGCCCATAATTAGACATGGCTTAACAAGCAATCAAAACCAACGGTTTGCCACGAATTAAAACCCGGTTGGCAGTTAAAGAGAATGCAAATTGACTTATGCATTGGATTTTGTGTGTTGCATGCCACTTTATGATGAATTGGGTTGAAACTTGATGACTGCGAATGTGGTTTTTCTTGCGAAAAACATTTTCGCTGCGTGCAGCTGGACAAGGCTTCGTTTGGTATTTCAAATATATACCAGCATGGCGTAAATGCATGAATACCGCAGAACCTGCACAACTGCTTGCACGGGTGTCTGGATTGCTGCATGACCATTTGGGACTTTGCACGGGCAATCATCTCTGCGTACTGCATCCGTTGACACCCGACTTTGTAGTGTAGTCACTTCCGCAGGGCTGTAGTTTTCTGTGCCGATGGAAGGGTTCCAGCTTTCCTCAACCTCCCAACCTTGCGAAGAAAGTGGGTCAACTCCGGAAACTTACGTCTAGCAGTGTGTAACGTATATTGGTGGAGCGTAAGACAATGATGTCTATTGGTGACGGTTTAGCCATTTTTCCTGCTCAGCCCCCCCCCCCCCCCCCCCACCTCACGTACGCTAGCGTCGATCACCTGCCTCGACGTCGCGCAGTGCCGTGGCGGCTCTCAGGCCGGTTCAGGTCCAAGTGGCGGAGACGCTTGCATCGGAGTTTTATTGGAGGAGATGCTGGCCCAAAGTGAACGAGTCAGCTGCATGCGATCATACCAGGTAGTCGCGTGCGGTCACGATGGCGCCTGCTCGTGTCATCAACTGTCACCCGCCTCTGCTGAGACCAGTCTATGCACTCTGCTGCTGCCAGTGGGCTGCGCTGTCAGACAGCATGTGTGCCTGGTTTAGAAGACTGGCGTGCGGTCGTCTATCTTACACTCGTCTGTGTTCTTTGCTCCTGACAGTGAGTCGTGTTCCCAGGCGCCACCGTCTGTGAGCGTCCTTGTGAACACAGGTCTGTGCGCTCTTTTGGCATCAAGCTTTGCGCTAAGATGGCACCGTCTGTCTGCCGCGATGCCAATGACCAGACATGCATGACATGATCAAAAAGCATGCTGCCGTCTTTTGATTGCGTGCTGGACATTCGTAAAATGTCTATGCCATCATATCTGTCACCACCACGTTCTGGGCTGATTCTTGTCAGTGAGCCTTTAGTAAGCTCAGCTGACCGTTGTCAGTGTTCTCAGTTAACATCAGAAATGTTCTCGGCCGACCCCGTTAACGCGCGGCGCTGACCCTGCTCCACCTGTCGACAGGTGTCGCTGGCCGTGATGCAGAAGCAGCTGTATGAGAACGTGCAGCAGTCTCGCGGAGGCTCGGCACTGGCTGCCGGTCGACAGGCTGACAGCGACCTGGACATGTCCAGCTTCAATATCAGCTCGCTCGGCTCGGTGGCCATCGCGAGCAAAAAGCTTGAGAGCGAGGACTGAGAGATCGTTTTGGCTTGCTCTTCCAGCGCGATACGGCGCTGAGCCGGCGCGTGGCATGACGCGTGAGCCGTGACGCCTGCTTGTTCAGCTGTGACGGCGGGCGATGCAGTTTTGTGGCGCTGGCAGGAGCGGGAGAGCAGCGCGCGATATGACGGCCACCACCACGGCGAACACCGGCGCGGGTCGTGGACGAGTGTGACGCGCTTTGGCCGCTCGACCGAGGCCGCAGCGGGGTGCTTGATCGCTTCTGTCACCTTATTCACGCAGACCAGTCGCGCCGCGCCTATTTTGTCTCCCTCGGTGCCAGTGGGTACTCCCGCAGTCTCGGCTCATCCCTTTCTCAATGTCCGAAACACCGGATAAGAGGGCGGTGCTGCGCGGCAAGCCGTCCAAAACTCACACGGCTGTAATTACTCGATTTCTTCGGATCCCCCTGAAAAAACTTTACACAGTTGTTTGATAGGGTCAATCGCATTAGATCCAAACTCAGTTCTGATCTACTGCCCGCGAGTGCCGACAACCAGTTAACTAGAAAACCATGGCTCAGCACGTACCTAGTGCCTGCCTCACATGGATGTGAAGCCGTCCAGTGGTCTGTGACGCTCGGGACATCGGCCATACCCTGCTGACGCGTCGGTAGGTCGAGATGCTGCGAAGGCGGTGGGTCGAGGATGCAGCGGAGGTCGGTCAAGGTCGCCTCAAGGGCAGCATATGTCCGTTCGCCCGCGTGCGCTTACTCTCGACACACCTGTGCTCCACCCACCAGGTCGTGATGGGTGACGGCGGCGCGCTTCGATGGGACCGAACGCAGTCACCGAGACCAGCCACACGAGAGGTCATGTCTTTCAGCTTCGAGCGTTTGGGAGAACGTGCGTGTATCCGTGAAAATTCTGTTCTGACACTGAAGACTGGTGTCAGTGATCGGCTATGTAATGCCTTCTCCGCCACCGCGGGAGCGATGGTGGGCGTTTGAGAAAGGGGATGATACTTAGATGCGACTTTCCAGTCGACAGGAGGATTAGGTGAACGCCTATTTGGCTTTGTGACTTCCGCTAAATCCAAACCAAACACATGCTTGGATCTTGAAACGGATATTTGATGCTATATCGTTCTTCTGTGACTGGATTTGTACACCGTGTCGCGGCATTTGTTTTGAGGGTTCACGCGTGTTTCGGAACCGAAGCATGTCTCGTAGAATTGTTATCAGATCGTCCACATACGTCAACGGAGATGCAAGATGATGCCGATAGACGCGTTTGTTCTTTGTGCATGCTCTGTCGTGGACGGGGCTGTGGCAGGGACCGGGGGTGGCGGGCGCCCACCACCCCACTGCGGAATGCTACATGAGCACTAACGAATCAAACACCACTCACCCGCGTTCACTTCGGGAGAAGTGGGTGTGATGGGTGATACGATATTTTTGATGATGCTTTAGTGTCTTGCCATATGCCGAACTTGCGTGATTGTGTACACGGCCGCCGAATTACTGCTAATGGCATAATGTAGCCATCATTGATGCTGACTGGCAATCACCGTGTTCGTATTAGTCTTAGCCCAATATATTTGATGAAGGCAGCACTCTTACCGGTGTTCATGACGTGGCAGTCGAGGCAAAAGCATCTATTGCTACTCTCAAATGAGCAAGATGCACTTTACATCAGCAAATCCGTCGCCTACGGCGACACGGATAATCACAAGCTTTTTGAAGCCACCAGAGTGGCTCTTCGGTTCGATGGTGAGTGTACAATCGTTTTGCTAAGGCCGTTTGTAGATATAGGGTGGATGTCTATCATGCACCCGGTACCAACTGACGCTCGGACGTGTTTTTGACACTTATGTCAAGTTCATTTGTGCCAAATTGATGAACATTTTGTTCTAAATTACGTTGGTCGTTAGGTGCCTTCACAAGGAACATTATGCATATCAATAGGACAGCACTAATAACCTTATTCCTCGAAGAATAAGCAGTGGATCTGTCCTTCCATTCTCCTGGTTATTCTACGATGAAAAAGGCTCTTGGTACTGTCTTGCTTATGCGTCACGTCCTGTCCGCTCGCCTTGATCCAATATGGAGCATCCATGCATCACCAGACGAGGCAAATGCTGTGCGCAGAATACATGCAATCCATAAAGCGATCCGACATCTAATATCGACGCCACAATCAGAATAAAGCAGGGATGATAAGGCAAACAAGACGACCGGGTCAGGCCAACGTATGCTCTGAATCAAACAAAATCAAAACCGCTCGTAATTTTCAAACGCAACATCAAAAGACGCCTACGCATAATACACACATCAAACGCAGATGTCACGCTAGAGAATCCTTTGACGTCAATAATACGTCACGCACCAAATCGCCGATCCCACGCACCGTAACGACGGCCGTCCGAGGACTCGGCGGCGTCCACTTACGGGCGTATTTTAGCGCCGCGGTCGGCTGTCAATAATGCAGGGCCGGTGCGCCGATTGATCGCCCTATTTTCCGTCGATGGTCGGTGACCGGCCTGACCACGTACCGCTGAATTATTCGGGGCCCGATAATGTCCCGAGACTACCTGGTCGGACCGATCGGACCGAGGCGGAGACGGTGGCGCCGCCCTGGTGGCAGTCGGGCGCAGCGACCGCGCGGCGACCGATGGCAGCTCAATCAGCCTGGCTTCGATGACGCACGCGGCGAGGGCCGGGCCGGCCGACCGTGAGATTGTGATTCAGGTAGTCCGCATTGATGATGCATGTTGCGTGCACGAATGAACCGGGCCGGACAAAGTGGCGCACGCTGTCGCGCCTTCGAGCGGCATTCTGCTCCGGCCGAGGGTTTCCAGCCCTACCGGTGACGGCGGCAAGGACTGGTGCCTACACCTGCCGCTGGCCCTATCCGAGCTCTCCCTGCCCTGGCGCCAAACCGCGCGTTTGTACAATTGGGGTTTAACGAGCGCACCGGCTGAAGTGTCCCGCCAACCTCTCCGCGCCGCCCCGTGCACCGAGGCCACAGCGCCGGCAGACGACAAACCGCAGCGGTTTGTCTTCTGCCGGCGCTGCAGCAGACGGCAAACCGCAGACGTGTATCCACCCCGGCTCGGACTCCGGCCCGTGCCCCCGCAGATCCCGCTTCCCGAAGACGGTCGGGTTGCCCGCGAGATCGCGTCATGTCTCCGTGACTGGCGAGCCGGCTGCAGCGTCGTCAGGCGTCTTCGAGGCGGCGAGCGGCGCGAGGCGAGCAGTTCCACAGCGCGCGTGTGCGGAAGGATCGGTGGACGGCCAACCTCACATCTCGTACATCTGTCGCACAGGCGACTGTATCATCATCCGCTAGTTTCTGAATCAAACCGACACATTTCCCGACGTGCATGCGATTGTCTAATTCTCGACAACACGCTTTACCTCCTCGCAGATGACTCCGACTCAGCTATTCACCATTCTATCAATGCCGCAAGATCTGGTTTCCCAGCCGCGTACTCTCCACCTGGACGAGAATAACTCGTCTGCGCTCAGTTCGAAGAGTTCCTTCTGAGGATCCAATTTGCTTTTTTGTGCCCGCGAAAATCAATTCAAACGAGACATTTTTCCACAGAACGCGAACCGTGGTCAGGATCCGCCGTCGGCTCCATAAATGTTCCAAGAGCAAATCAGCACATAATGTGTTATCATGTATTTTATCCAGAAAAGACCTCAAGCGAGAATCCAAAGGCAACTGCGGCTTAATCGACCCGTGTCACATAGCAACATAAAAACGCAAAGCGCAAGAAACGCCAAAGGCCTGCGAAGCACAGTGTGGCCCTGCTAACCAGAAGACCGAGAGGTGGAGGCTGATTTCGGCGACTTGGCGATTGTCTTTAGGGCCCAAGTCCTGCTTCCAAAGAAGACGCCATGGCTGTGACTGCGGTTAATTTACTCGTGAAAGCTTAGCTACCTCCATCATGTTACCGTGTTACCGTGCTCGTAGTGAAACACCAGCAGTGCTGCTGTGAAATGGTTTGCCACGTTACCGTGCTGGTAGTGAAGCAACAGCAGTGCTTCTGTGAAATGACTCGAGGACACAAACTGTGACTACCTCCGCTGCGTTACCGTAAGTGACAGCGAGGCTGCAGCAGCTCTACCATGAAACGGATAGAGAACGACAAAACCGTGACAATTAGTGGGCAGTGGAATGCACACTCATCACGTGTCGTCTTGGATCCGACTCCAGACGCCCCACTCGACAGCATCTCCGCCGACCGAGGTGCCTAGGTCACCTGTCGACCTGGTTCTCAGCCTCAAACCGCACCACTCTCCCCGCGCCACACAGTCTGGACGGCAAACAGCACGCGACGCGGCCGTCTCCCCGGTCGGGCCGCGGCGTGCGAGCGGCGAGCGCCCGCGTGCCCGCGCCCCCTCAAAGATTGCGCCTCTGCCGCCAGGCCGGCGCCCGCGACGGCAGGGCCGCGCTGCCCGCTCCCTCCCGACAGCAGCCGCGCGCGCTCACGCCCGCACGCGGGCGGAGCGCACGCCGCACGAGCGTCTCCCTCTCACGGGCACTACTCGCGACGGGCGCGCCGGCCGCACGGGAGCGCGGACGCTTCGCCTCCTTTCACAGGTGAAAATTGCCGCCGCGGGACCGCGGGCGGCGGCGGCGTCTCGGCAGGCGGCGGCGGTGTCTCGGCGGGCGGCCGTCGGCGCCTCACATCTCGTCGTCGTCGTCGTCGGCGTCGATGGCCCGTTCGGGGAAGTCCCCGACAGTGACAGACGCCGGCCGCGTCATCAGGCCGTACTTGTCCGCACACTCGAAGTAGCGCCGTCCGTTCACGCTGTGATGCACGGGCGTGCTGTGAGACGACGCGGCGGGTGACGGCGGCGGGGGGGGGGGGGGGGGGGCACGGACGACAGACGACGACCCTTGCCGCTGTGCGTCAGTAAATATCCCAACAAACTGTTGCATTCACCCCCAGCAGCAGTCATCACTGCTCGGTTTCATCGATTCCGCTGTAAGCCCCCGCGAGAGTGGTAAGCTATCAGTCAACACATCGTCCCAACACTCGACGTGCTGGACCAAAAATACCGAAACAAGACACTCGACGTGCTGGACCAAGAACACCGAAACAAGGAGCGAAAGCATTTACGTCGGTAACCTAAAACTTGCGTTTCGGTCATTTTAATTTTAACATATCGCTTTTGGTTGACCTGTCGGGCAAGGGCACATTTGATTCAATTAAGTTAATGTCTTCCATTTTAGCTTTTTATGTATCCACAGAGCTACTTTGTGTTACTCAGAGTAGTGCTATTGATTTTCAGACGGCCGTGCAAGGTCCGTTGCGGACGTCCCATCATACTGACGTCGGCTGGGCTTACACATAAAACGTTCACGCGTAACGATATACTTCTGCTGGATTATCAAGGGTTTACGAACGTTTCTTTGGTTGGTTTTTAAGACATGATATGCAACTGAAAAACATTATTGACTCACGGGACGTTAATTTTCCGTATTTCTACACGTACACCCCTGAGAACGCGGCCACGGGTCCGGCATCGGATATGTAAGGAACCTAGAATCCGCAAGTCAGATAAAGAGAAGGCGGTTCAAAACTCAGTCAAACAACATGTAAGTGTGGTGCATTAGGCGGTTCGGGAGATAGTTCGGAAAAATTTGAGGCGCTGTACTCTCTGTCTTGGGGAGAGTTCACATGGCATCCACATGGCATCCACACACTATGCATACATGGTATCCACGTGTGGAGTTCACATGGTATCCACATGGCATACACACACTATGCATACATGGTATCCACGTGTGGAGTTCACATGGTATCCACACATATGACCATCCTGCCCATTACCACGGTCACACTGAACACTCCGGCAAGAGTTTCCTGCGACCACTAACCATAATCTATACATCACACATGCATATCACGCAGCACTGAAACGACGCCATAAAACTAAAACGTGTCCGTTCCGGCCCCTCACGCACGCTTACCACCTATTGGACAAGCGCCGCGGTATCGCGCACTGGAAACTGCGCAACCACGCAGTCGCTTCCCCGGAAACCCCATCATCGCCATCAACAACGCTGCACACATTCCAGGGACGTGCCGCAATACCGCCGCTGATG